TGATCCCCCCTTGATCCCTTTACACCTCTCTCCCCCCTCTTCCCCCTTGCTATTACTGGTTGGTTTAAAAATTATTCGGCAATGAAGAAACATTTTTAAAAACCAGAAGATATCCTTTCTTGATGTATAAAATTTAGACAAGGCGTAATTTTCTATTAAACGAGTACAAGAAATAATTAATTCATATATATTTTCCATAAGGTATATTTGAATTTATAAAGGTAGTCAAAATAAATGATGACAATGCATACTACATAAGTAGCCAATTTTCACAGTACACACGTGTTTTTAGCTACCAGAAGGAAGCTTGTTAAAAAGCCCGCGTCTTATCAGGACTGAAATGACTTCAGAATAGGCTACGCGATTATCAGTATTACCAGCTTACTTAATGCCAATTAGCCAAAGAGTACTAATCGTTCGCATATATCGGCGTTTTACACGAATTCTAGGCCGTACTGTATATCCTCAGGTAGTCATTTTGGAAAGCGAAGAAACGTCATGCAGGCAATAACGTTTATTGCCTGTTTCTAGAAATTTGACTGCATTGGTGAACTGGCGTCAAAATCTGCCCGTATCACCACTCGCTGCCACCAAGTACACTTGCATAGCGCTCTGTCGAAGTGCATGGATTGTGCGCGTAGGTGTGATTGTGATCGAGTCTTCAGGCAAACTGAGTGCTTATCGTTGATAGGTGACTAATTTTTTTGCTCTACAGTGATTGTTTTTGCCGAAGGGACCACGCCTATACTCGAAATTATATAAAAGAAACTCTCTCAGTTAACGCCTCAGGCAACCTAAATCTCGACCATGTCTGCAGAAGACAAAGACATTTACGCCAGCGAGGACAAAGATGACAACACGGTAAGTATTTCATTTCTGTTACATAATTTGTGAAACTCATCCACTATGACCGTTTGATACAATCATTATTTTGTGGGTAGTTTCGATAAATTAGTTATATTGGTGAACCATCTAGTAAGTTCTCAGCAATACAATACGTATAAGGATTGTGAGCATTAAGCACGAAATCATGCGGCAGTAGACGCTATGTTCTTCCATGATACTCTAGGATTATAATGTGTTAGCAGAGATATAGCAAAATATAAAGTATATGCTTAAGGCGGATCGTAGAAATTGTATTCTTAGCACAGGAGGGCCTGTCAGTCATTTTCATCCGATAAGAGCTCATCGAAAGTCCTGTGGCCCGTAACTTATTAGAATTTGAATCTGTCATCCTGGTAAAATTTATAGCATACACCTAATTGATAAGCCGACGATATTAAGGTCACATAATTACTTGTAGTTTTAGGGGCTCTCAGGCCTGCCTACCTAACTGCGGATTTTACCCTGTTTTTTTTTAAAGTTTCAATTATGCGGCTTCAAACTCATTTCTAAGTTTGTTTACAGTTCTGAGAGGCAGATTCGTGAACTACCCTCTGTTGTTCTGAAAATAAAAAAATAAGATATCCAAAGTATTATTTTAATGGAGAAGGGGCCCACCCTTCTACCGGCGATTCCTACCCTGTTGAGTTCTCGATAGATTTAAAAGCACACGGTGTCCTAAGTGGTGTCCAAAAGCACAGGCGATTGCGCAATAGTAGCCAGTTCTTGTGGATTTTCATTAAAAGTCTACCGAGGTGACTTTCATACCAAATGTCGGTCAACGCCTATAGAAACTCGAAAATGTTTTGATCTAATCCAAGCTATTTTCTGAGGAATTTAAAATTTCGAAATGTCGAAATTGGAGTATCTCACAGAAGACACACAGAGAACGCTGAGGGCACATAACGATGAGTCGAACCCCTGACAGTTGTGGTATGCAGCGGCTTACTATCGGCAAAACACTCGTCTGGTTTCTTAGTTATGGTCTGTGTTGTCAGTATGCTTAATACTTAGGTAAGATATACTACTGATTGACCGTTGGCAGCTGGTGAACATTAAGCCGTTATCCGTCAGTAGCTGATGGACTTCGACACACTTATTCATATCAAATCACGATCACTGCTAACAAAAACTCGAACATACAGACCCCCTCCAAGCTAGAGAGTGATTTATGCGGAGAGTAAACAGCTACAATCAGTGAATGTTAACTTATCGTACAGCATTCAACTTAATTTCTTTTGAAATTAAATTGATTAAATAAAAAATTAATTTAATTAATTTTGGCAAGATTAGTTTTGAAAACAGTACCAGCCAGTGCACGATTTCTTTAAGTTATATCATTTTGTGACATAGGTAGCATTTGCACACACGGAAATTCCGTTGTCAGATGGGCCTGCACAGCTAAATTCGAGTCCCCCTCCAAAATAGCTAAATCATAGGCCACTTGAGTTCTGGAAGCACTTATTGTTTCCTGTTACCTGATGAACTGCGTTCTCATTTCAAATCATTCGGCAGTAGGACTCGTTGCCAACGCCTCCTGGGCATTTCCCAACTGTGAGAGTGTTCAGGAGGCACCTGGAGAATCACCTCGTATAGGGCAACCCAATTATTTAAACTCCTTTCTAAAATACAACACTGACGACGACAAGCATACTACTTCCTTGAATTTAATAACCTTTTGTCTACTTTTAAGTTGGCTCAGGTGGAGATTCATACTGGGAATGCAGCGAATCTCTGGTACGCTGCCATTTAGCGAACGCCTTACCCTTTGAATTATTCACATTTCCTATATATTTTTATGCATGTTTGCATAATAATGTAACCTGCAACAGTTTTTTGCATATTCATTACGTTTAAATGCAATGGAGGGCTTTTGATACCTACTACAAATATACTAACTGACTGTGCTGACAGATCAACGATACATATAAAAGAAGTATTGTAGGAAAGCACCCCATGGCAGACTTAACTAAAAATAGTGAACGTAAGAC